TTTTTTTTTTTGCACGAATTTTATGTGATAATTCCAAAAACCAGTTTCTTCTTTAATTTAGAAAGCTATCGTTATTTTCATTATTATGTCGTCTTTTCACTGGTGTATCGTCACTGCATCTGACCTAGGAGTTTAAAATAAATTCACCGTCATTTTTGAGGGATTCTCGGAAATCGCATCTGCACATTATGAAAAAAGCTAATAGGAAACGAAAACTTTTTGTCGAAAACACGAAATCGAAACAGGCGTGAGAGAGCATGCTCCTAATTGGTTAACAAACTGGTTGTTTGGTCCGGACTGTTCGCTATTGGATGTTTGACTTTTTTAAACCAACAAGAATCCGCCCTGAAACGCTCCTCCACCCCACCCCCTTTCCCCATAACACTGAAACACAATTCAAGATTTTAACTACACTACCCCCTTACGTGTAAAGCAGGATTGTGTGACACTTCAGACATCTTCCATCACCTATCACCTCTGCTTTTACAGATAACTAGGTTTGGTGTTGATTATGGAATAGAAGTCTTTCTCAAGGAGGAGAATCGATCATCAACAGGGAGGTATTGTAGATCTGACTAACTTAAATTTTGAATTTCTTGACTGTGGTGCCAAGTATTTATCTTTATTAATTAACCTTCTTTCTATCCACAGTTACTTTGACAGAGCAGTGCTAAACTCTCTTCTAACTTTACCCGAGGTAAGAGGTCTTCACCGATTTGCAGAGGCTGTGATTAATGGTTGATCTTAAATTGGCAGGAGGCTCAAAGCGTAGCAAGTACGTTTTTGCAAAATATCTTATCGCAGAAATTCTCGCAACATATTCAAATTTTCCGTTTTCAAAATATTGAAAACTATACGCAGAAAAATTGAATAGGACTTGGATTCTGAAATGGATTCTGATTTCGCTTTTACACAAGGTACATATGACTTAATGATGGAACTTCATGTTTCATCTAACGCGTGAAAGGTCCCCCATTATCAAGTCGAACCGAGTCAGCTCCTGCAGCGATAAAGGTATTGCATGTGATAGTTGGATTTATCTGCAGTTTTGATTCTATGGGCGTTCTGATTGGATGATTAAAAAGCCATGTTTTCTAAAGATGCTAAAACATAGAAAACCGTGTTTTATTGAATTGTACATGTGTTTCGCACATGCAGTTAATTTATCTCATATTATACAGCTTATACTACCATGAAACATTCCGGTTGTTTGACAACGCTTCAGAAATGTTGAAGTTATTCGTACATTCGCCGACATTCGCCTTGATCACAGTCCGCCATGTTGGATGCAACGTAACCATTTTTCGCATGAAAGCGAGGCCACGCAAGTTAAAACATCATGGCTGGGTCAGCGAGTGCTTCGATTTCTTCAGAGTTTTGGCTCCGCAATCTGGTGGACATACCATCGTTCACAAACGCCTTTATCGAAATTTAAAGAAATACCGACAACAATATTTACTTGTGACAGTGACAGTGTATATGGGCTCGGTGCAGTTTATAACAACAGGAGAGGATGACAGTTCCGGTTGGACCTCCATAGAACTTTCCTCACCGGAAGCTTGGCCGGAAGTTGATGCTATAGATTAAAATGAAAAAGAGAAAAATACCTCTGACTGCTTTACGATTTTAACCAAGGAATGTTTAAAGAAATACTGGCAACAATATTTACCTGTGACAGTGACAGGGGACAATGGCATGCTTACATCAAAAAATCGCACTCGTGTACGCGGTGGTTCTCGCTTTTTCGGAGATTTTCTTTTCCTGGGTGATCTTGACCAGCAAAAAATACTCGGAACTGCATGCTTCTCCAGAACATGCTTCCCTGTTAAAGTTGTCTTAAAATCCGCTTCCTTAAAGTGTACAGAACATACTCTTGTGCTGTTTGTTATCTGTAGATGGACCAGATCATTATAACTAATGTAATTACATGTGCACAACAATGACATCGATAACCTAACCAACTTACCTGGACACTTTTGCCCACGTCTCGCCGTATTTTGACAACCCACTGCTTTCAATTTCAAAACTCGGAAATTGGTGAAAGGTACGATTTGGAATTTTTTTAGCGCGATTATTTTGACATTGCGGCACGCAACGGTGATCTCTGTTGGGCATGATTGCAGATGATCGCCTTGTCTCCTCGATCGCCGGAAGTTGACCTTTTTTACGCGTGGCCTCGCATTGGTGTCAAAAGTACAGATAAAGAAGAATGGCTTTTTTTTTTCTGAATTTCCCACATAGTACATGCTCTCAAATTGCGACAGAATAATACGCGGCATTGCCTTCTGAACTTTTCACTTTTCCTCTCTTTTGCGAGCGGTGAGCCGTTCAGAAGGCCTCGACATCAAGGCGAGATTACTGTGCTCTGTCACCTCACGGCTGCTGAAGAAATAAAAATTTTTTTGAGCCTACGAGAACTTTTTTTATGCTCACAGGATCAGCGGCGGCGTGGTGTCATCACAGCTTCAGAATGCAGGACCTTCATACGAGCCCTTTTCTGTTATGGCCCTAAACTGGGCGTACCAGTGAACCTTGTAGTTCCATATGGAAGTGCAATTCACAGGCAAATGTGGAGTCAACCTGGTAAAATCATTGTGAGCTGTGGAAAAGATATCAATGAGGTAATTGAAGTCAAACCTATCAACGAAATTGAAATAAACCTATTCAATCAGTTTAGACTGTAACTGAAGAGAAGATGGGGTTAAGGAGTTAATCCCCTGTGTTGGCGTTATTCGTGAGGTAATACCTATCGGCTCTCGACTTAAGAAATCACAGGGTGGCGGAGGGGGGTCTAGAAATAGCCAATCCTGTGACACGGATGTTACTCGCGTGGACAGCCAAAGAGGCGTTA